CACGCACGCACGCACACACACACACACACACACACCACACGCACGCACGCACACACACACACACACACACAAACCATAGGCATAATTTTTTTACTGTACAAACTGTATTTTCTATCCCCTTACCCTAACCCTACCCCTTACAGGAAACTTTCTGCATTTTTATATTTTCAAAAAACTTAATTCTGTATGATTTACAAACTTGTTTCCTCATGGGGACAAAAAAAAGTCAACACCAACAGCCTCAAACAAGCTCCATAATTCAATCGCACTCACAACATTTAACTTTTTATTAATATCAGAACATTCTTCAATAAAGAGTTCCGTTTAATAAGATTTCAATTTTATTTAAATTTGAAACAAAACAAGAATTCCTATTTCTATGGTAACACATAACTTTCAGAGAATCTCTCTTCAGGATTATGGATAGTGAAGCACAATCAGATCAGCAATTCGTGAAACCACATAGACTTCTACACATGCATGCATGTTTATATATGTCTATGACTAAAATAATTTACTTCGTAAAGATGATGAATGATATTGACCGAACCCTTGAGCTCCATAACACATCATAATGCTCCCGTGCTCATTGCTCAATGGATTCTGGGCAAAATCATTGTTTTGATGTCCGTCCCATGCCCTGAAAGCTCTCTCCTCCACATCACGAGTAGACACGCCCCTTATTGCTGATTGGCTACAAGTTTGTTTTGCTATTCGGCCCGAATCAGTTTTCTAAAGTGTTTTTGAAAAATCACATACCCTGCCTTTAATGAGACCAGCAGTGGATGGATGCAGACAGGGGAAAATATATATTTTATTATTCAAGAACTGAATTCACTACATGTGGAAAGCAACATTATTTCCTTTTTTATTAGTATTAATTAAATTGTAATTTTAAAATTAGATATGTACACATCAACATTCTAACATTATTTCATATTTTCATGTATTTTATTAAAATTAAAAATGAAATTAAATATATATTTACAATTTAAAAAATATATATACACATAAATATATATATAATATTTAGAATACTGAAATGTAAAAAGATATTCTAATTAAAATATTAAATTAGAATATAAATATTATTGTGATTGTTTCAGGTCTTCTTCGTATAATCAGCGTCCTCTGCTTTTATCTTTCATCCTGTTTTTCATCTAATGCATCTGCTTGTCTTTTTGCCTTCAAATGCATATAAATTAGAATTAATTTCAACTTCAAAGTCTGTGGTTTCTCGTCGCTGGTGAGCTGCAGTGAGATATTTAAACATCAAACATCTCGCTGTGAGTCAGTGAAGCTCACGCTCACATCACTGATACCTACAGATCTCACACTGAGTCGACTCTTCTTTTTTCTTTGCTTTTCTTTTGCTAAAATGGAACAAGGGTTGAGCTTCATGCCCCAAAGAATGAATATCCCACAGTGTCTATGAGCCAATCACAACATACAAACTCCTCATGAGCCAAACAGAGTGCACTGATTTTCCATCAGCCAATTGACTTCTACCCAAACACACAGCCATTAATGGAAGCTGAACAGGCCTGAACTTTGAGTGAAACATATAAATATATAAAATATTTATATACGAAAAATTATAAATAATATAAGGATATTTATATATTTGAATTTTGATTTATAATATTATATAGAATTATTTATATTATTATACTGTTTATAATATTATTTATTTATATTTTAAATAATATATATAGATAAATGTAAGAACATTTATTATTATTGCAGAATATTTAGAAATTATATAATTAAAATTTGAAATAATATTTATTTTATACATATTTTAAATATGTATATCACATTGTGATTGTTTCTATCAACTAACATCCCTAAAAAGTAGATAAGTAAGTTTCAACACACTGTACCTGTATTATAGAAGAACGCTTCTATGATGGTGCAGTTCTTGAAGAAGGAACCAATGGAGCTGACGTCCTCAAAGTAACAGCTCTGAAAGGTGGAGTCGATGAAAGTCACAGACTTAAACTTCATGCCAATGAACCTGAAAAAAGACAGGACTGGTCAGGACACAATTAACCAGCTCGAGGAACAGCATACAAGCACATCGAGATCAGTTCAATCTGGCATGTGGCACCAATAAGGAAAAAAATCAACATCGAAAATCTTCTCTTCTCTTAGTTAGCAATTGGATTCAATGGAGGTCAACTGTTTGCTCAAGTCTCCAGCTTCTCAGATGATTCTCCATCCAGTTGTTTATATAATCTAATAAGTTCATCGTGATTCATGTGTGTGTGCGCCGTCTGATCTCATCTGCTCATAAATGAGCATCACAGGAGCTGGACGCTACAACAACACGATAAGAGCTTCATCTCCAGGAGAGAGGTATGAGGGAAAGAGGAGGAGCAGACGGAGATAATAAACAAAAAGAAAGAGAAAGAATCAGAGCGAAACACAAAGAAAGAGAAAAGGAGGAGAGGAGAGATAAGGGCGTTTTAATTTCCTGGCCCTGCGTCTGGATGTGACATTACCTCAACACCGGGATGTTATTTATGAGAGAGAGATCAGACCGCTGAGAACAATAACACACACACACACACACACACAGAACGCAAACATTATGACCAGCATTAACCGCAGCTGAAGATCGACTCTATTTCGGCTCATCTCTCCTGTAAACGCATGTTTAGTTTCAGGATTTCATTTCACGCAAAGGAGCTGAAGTAGATAAGATGACTTCATGGAAAGGCCTCTCAGAGTTCACTGGCGTATGAAATCTCCTTTTTATATCAAGGGAAAACTCGATGCTTCTTGCTCTTTTGAAATAAGAGCTTGATTTCTAACATTCATAACCCAAAACGTCCAAACACCAGCTTCATTTACTAAAACGAAATCTTCAGGAAATCTTCATGATTATGACATCACAAGCATGACTAACAGGGACTGAAGCTCGCTGAGGTGTGTGTGTGTGTGTGTGTGTGTGTGTAACACAGGTGGTGACACCAGCGCTTAGTTAATTAATTTCTGCTCCTCAGCGGTGGGCTTCAGTCTGACAGAGAGCAGCGATAGAGGCATCTGTTCACTCTTTAATTAGAGATTGTGTGAGTCCTCTTTTATGTGTGTGAATTTCTCTCTTATTTTGTATTGAAGTGTGTGAGCTTGAGTTGGTCTGTGACAGAGTGAAGACACCTCTTTATTAAGACTAAAAACAAAAGGAAGTGAGTCAAGAAAAGAGTGATAGAATAGAATAGAAATAAAGCAATAAGCCATGAGAGGCCATGTTTTAGGGTGATTTTACCACAATTTAGTGGTGTTGTTAACCTGAAACCATCTTAACCGCGGTATGACAGACTAGAATAGTAAACTAGATTATGCTCTGAAGGTTAATAACTAAGGTTAGTGGAAGTGTTGTTATTGTAAACGAAAACTATGAACAAATTGTTTTTATTAACTGAAACAAAATAAAACAGATGAAAAAAAAATTTGAATTGTTGCCTTCACAACTAACTGAAATAAAATAAGTTTAAGGTGAAGTACTAAAATTACTAAAACTAAAACTGATATAAAGTTATATAGAAATATTTTATAAAATGACAAAACCATATAACAAAATGACTACTTAAAATAAAATAAATGCTAAATGAAAAATAAAAATAAAATAAAATAAAACATCAAACTTAAATGACTACTTAAAATAAAATAAATGCTAAATGAAAAATAAAAATAAAATAAAACATCAAACTTATTTATTTCAACTAGTTGCCAAGGAAACATTTCTCATTTTCTTTTAGTTTAACTTGTTGTACTAAAATAACTAAAAATAAATAAAAAATATATAGACATTTAAAAAAACAAAAACAAATAAAAATGATGAAAATACACAACAAAATTACTAAGTATTTAACGAAAATTCTAATTCAAATTGAAAATTTAAAAACAAAAGCTAATTCAAAATATTAATAAATATTATTTATTTATTATTAAATGTTTTTAATATTTTAATAAACAGCATTAAATATTAGAACTAAAAAATGTGTTATAATTACTACTATCTTTAATAACTAATAATTAATTATATTAGTAGTAATACTATAATACTACTAAATAATACTATATAAATATACAAATAATATTGAAATAACACTGGTTGGTATGAGCGGCACACTAAGTATATTTAGTGTACACTAAGAATTAGTCATAATGATGATGACACTTGACCTCGCAAACATTTCTAATAAACAATTCTTGTGCCACTTATATAGTTCTTTAATCTAACTTGGACTATTAATATATAGATTTCAATTGAACTTAAATGTATACTGGCTATTTTACAGATTAGAACACAACACGGCTTTAGAATAGAATAGAGTATGTCCCAGAAAAGCCAGGTCAGAGGAGTTTTAGTGTGATTTTGTGAGTAAACCGGGCTGTTCCATACACATGAGTGTTGATATAAGCCCTCCTACAGAGCTCTGTCTCTGAGCCCATCCATCCAGGCTTAAGCTCTAATAAATACAGTAATTAAACAGTGCCTGGTCCCCCTCATGCAGCTCCACCCCTGGGCCTAACCACTGCAAGACAGCTACTTAAAACACAGTGATTATAGGGACAACACTTCATTACAGTGCCAGAGAGCAGCAGAGAGAGATTGAGAGGAAGAAAAACAGTGTCTCCTGATCGGAACAAGGCTCAATAGAATAGAATAGAATAGAATAGAATAGAATAGAAAAGAAAAGAATAGAATAGAATAGAATAGAATCTGATGATATTGTACTCTAAATGGCACAAACAGTGTGTGATCACTATAATCACTATAATCGGGTGATAATGTGTGTAACTACGGGGTAGTGATTCAGGGGTCGGTCTGGCCAATCAGACGGAGGATATTAGAGCCAAACAGTCTCACCCGAACGACAGCGAGAACCAAACCACGGCCAGCTTCACAGTGTTGTCCTTGACGGGGTAATCCCAGCACTTCAGGAACGTGAGCCAGATCTGCATACACACACACACACAGGTTTGTTTTTGTGACCATAGGCGTAATGGTTTTTCTACTGTACAGACCGTATATTCTATTGCCCTACACCAACCCTACCCCTAAACCTACCCCTCACAGGAAACTTTGTGCTATTTCAGATTTTCAATACACTCCATTCTGTGTGATTTATAAGCGTTTTGAAAAGTGGTGACATGGGGCAATGTCCTGAAAAGTCACCTTCTCCTTGTAATACCTATGTCATACCCTTGTCATTATACAAATTTATGTCCTCATTTGTCACAAAAACGCGCACACACACACACACGCACACACACACACACACACACATACACACAAACTTAGTCAAACTAATGCATTAAGTGCACATAAAACACCTGTGTATAATGGGATCTGATTTCCTTTCATCACAGCATTAGGAAATGCAAAGGCAAAGACGAATCAGCAGAACATTTGGTGCGTTTGAGTCCCAGCTGGACTTTAGGGTGACTTACTCTCTTTAAACGAGAGGCATTTATGCAAACGGTTCCACATGTCAAGTAACAAATCTTTTTCTGCACTCAATGTCAGCATTGAGATTTTGCTCAAAAATGTGTTTTTTTTGTGGTCAAACAGTAGGAGTTAATAAAATAAAATTATAAATAAATAGTTCAAGTTAAAAAAAAAAAACACTTGAAAAATATTACAATATGTAATATATATATATATACTGTTCAAAAGTTTGAGCTCACTAAGAATTTTTTTAAATACATTTTACTTTTATTCAGCAACGACACATTAAATTCCTTATGAAAATTAACCATGGTTAATTTTAGTAAGGGTTGATCAAAAGATGATGTTTAGTAAGGGTTGATCAAAAGATGATGTTACATTGTTACATAAATGTTTTTCTTTTGAACTTTGTATAATAATAAAAAGAAGAAGAAGAAGAAATATTACATTTCTGAGCAGCAAATCAGCATATTAGAATGAAGACAAGTAATGGCTGCTGAAAATTCAGCTTTGCATCACAGGAATAAATAATATTTTACAATATATTCAAATAGAAATCAGTTATTTTAAATTATAATAACATTACACAATATTACTGTTTTTACTGTATTTTTGATCAAATAAATGCAGCTTTGGTGAGCAGAAGAGACTTCTTTCACAAACATAAAAAAAAATCTTACCGACCCCAAACTTTGGAACAGTAGTATAAATTGTCTAGGATCTGAGGATCTGATGTGGATGTGTGGGATCTACAGGAGATCTGCACGTTTGTTCACTCACTCCGCGCAGTTCGCTCTTGATCCTGAATAAGACTTTGGCCACAGGGTTTGTCGACTCCGACTGCATCTCCACCAGCTCATCCAGCTGCTTGGGGATCTTAATACGGTTCACCTGCAGGGGGAGACAGAGAGACGTCACATTACCAGCGCAGTCTGTGTTAGTGGGGTCAAGAGGTCAAGCTGGTTGTGCTTGTGTGTGTGTGTGTGTGTGTGTGTGTGT